TGGTGGCAGGCAGCCCTGTAGCAGGCAGCCAACTCCAAGCTGCTGCCTTACTGCTGATGAAAAACCTCCACAGCAGGTTCCACAGAGTTCTGGGGGCCATGTGGGCTACTGAGATCCCCCTGCTGCTGCAGTGTCTTGAAGGTAAAGTACTGGTGGGGAGGAAGAGGCAGAGGCAGGGAAGGGGGGTGAGTGAAAATGCAGCTCTGCAGAGTGGCAGAGGGGAAGCACTGCCTGCAGCCCAGTGCTGCGCTGTCTCCATTCCTGCGAGTCAGCTCTGAGGCCCAGGGACCTATGCCCCTGAGGATCTGCCCATTCCAGGACAGGGATGGGCCCTTCACATCCCCTCAGACAGCAGCCTTGGAGCACTTAGTTCCATGTTGCTGCGGGGGCAGTGTTTGTGGGGAGGGACAGGTCACTGTGGAGGGGGTGTGGGTCCCAGCTTGACTGTGTCAAGTGCCCAGGCCAAGACAGGCTTGCAGCAGCTCTTCTGTGCCTTGATCCCAAGTAAGGGTCTTTTTCTTCCTATCGCTGTGCAGGGAAAGATGAGAGCTTCCCGGACACTGCCGAGTTTGAGCGCCGTCTGCTAAAGGTACAGCATTGCCGGGAGGTGCGGTGCAGAGAAGTGCTTGCCTGCCCCAAGTAGCCCCGCTCCCACATGAGCCGCTGTGGGACAGGAACAGCCTCTCAAGCGCTGCTGCAGAGCGGAGCGGCCGCACGCCTTTGTGGCGCTGCCTCTTCCGCTCTGTCCCAAGCCCAGGGGGGTCTTAGGAGAAGAGGGCAGCTGGCTTTAATGGAGGGAACGCTGGGGGAGCTGGGAGAGGGACTGTTCTTCCTGACACCTCTCCCTAGAGGGCTGCAGCAAGTTGGGAGTAAGGGAAGAGGCAAAGGGCAAGGGAACATTGTCTTCTCCTGTTCTCCAGCAGTTCCTGAGGGCGTCAGTGGACACCGTAGATGATGAGGCGTGGACCGAGGCCCTGAGCAGTGAGCTGAGCCAGCGGCTAAGCAGCTCCACCGGCAGCTCTGCTGAAAAGGTGAGTTCCTCCGGCTCTACGCAGCCGTGCAGCTGCAGGTGTCCAGCTGGGGCTGGGGCTGCGGCTGGTGCTCAGCCCATGCGGGATGCTGATGCTGCTTCGCAGTCTGTGCCCCCCAGAGGCCTTTCCCTGCAATCTGCCCGGGGATGGCTAAAGCTTGGCCCTGCAGCTCCTCTCAGCAACTTCCAGGGAGTGTGGGTCCTCCCCACCTGGCCCTCCCCCAGCAGGTTAAGCTGCTGCCACATCTCAGCTTCTTCCTTCCCTTCCCATGCAGTCGTTCCTGTACAAGGCTCTGGGCACAGTGCTGGGATCCTGTAAGGGAGTCCTCCACGTGCAGGAGAAGCTGCTGCAGCACCTGGAGGAGGCAAACGCGGAGGAACCATGTGAGGCCCAGGTGAGCTCTCCTCTCCTC